ACAAGATCTTTCACTGTCTATAGCTGGGTGCCCATTCCCACCTGGGTGAAGTGAGGAAAACTCGTGTAAAGTGCCTTTCCCAAGGACACAACGTCAGGTCCCTGACAGGATTCGAACCCACGACCTTACGGTTGCGAGTCCAAGAGCCTAACCACTAGGCCACCGACGCCACAAAAATAACATATATAAAAAAATAAAAAGATTACATGGTGTCATAGCTATGTCGTTGTGTCACAGACTGTGATAGAGGCGCAATGTAACCCACGAACAACGTACCAATGACAAGAGGTGACACACTCGCTCGATTCTACGGTGCAGGGTGGTTGGAGTCAGTCTGTCAGTCTCTGTCTGTCTGTCTGTCTGTCTGTCTGTCTGTCTGTCTGTCTGTCTGTCTGTCTGTCTGTCTGTCTGTCTGCCTGTTTGTCTTTTAGTCTGTCTGTCTGTCAGTCGGTCAGTCTGTATGTCTGTCTGTCTGTCTGTCTGACTGTCTGTCTGTCTGTCTGTCTGTCTGTCATTTTATCTGTCTTTTCTTTTCCCTGCACTAAATGCTCGTTATTTTGTCAATGTGTTCCTCTGTACAAAGGAATAAAGGTCTTAAATGACGAAGCTCTTTCTCAATGTGTGTTTTTTTTTTCTTCCATTTTCGTCCCACAGCTGATCAAGCAAAATGGCGACCACAACTTATGAACAAACCACCGAAACGAGGCCCGAACCTCCACCCATCAGGCCCCACCCTGAATATGTCAAGTCCATCGAGGGCATTCTCAAAATTGTAGAAATCGTAAGTACACTGGAGTGCGTCCTATTTGTGTTTAAATGGAAACTCTGCATTTCAAATCTTTCATTTTTTTTTAGTTTTATTAGTTTCTCAGTGAGTGGTCTTAATTCCTTTTCTGATTTCCCGTTGAAGGATAACATACTTAACTTGAATCACTATCAGATGTTCTTCTAAATTTTATTAAATTAAGATAATTGATATTTACTCCAAAATATAAATACAGTTATTTTAAAGTGTAATTTGCTGCTTTTAGAACTGAATTTTTACAATGTATTTTTAGATAATTCAACCACTCTGTCTGGCAAAGTAAAATCAAGACTTGCTGTGAACTAACTTGAAAACAATCAACTTGTGTCCCACAGGCTCATATTACCGTATATGGAATTTGACCAAACAAACACTTTTTTTACAAACATGGTCTGGGGATATAGAAAAATACGTCACTATGTCTCGAAATAAATTATGCCAGAGTTTTTTTCTGGTTGCGTGTGTAGGCTATGTATTTGTTTGTTAATGTGTGTAATGCAATCTGTTGTGTGTAATGCAATCTGTTGTGTGTAATGCAATCTGTTATGTGTAATGCAATCTGTTATGCTCCTCAGGTGCTGTGTATTTTGGTGCTCATCTGTGCATCCATTGACTACTGGTACCACCTGGGTGGAGGCTGGGTGCAGTTTGTGGCCGCCTCGGCGATGATAGGGACGATCATACTCTTCTTGTTTTTCTTTTTCAACGTTTACCCTCGGCTTCCAGGACCCTGGAATTTTATTGTAAGTATCGTAGACCATAGCTCATTTACCAAAAAAAAAGACGTGTGTGTTGATACGGACTGAGATGTAAAGTGTTGAAGTGATGAAAGGGATTGCCAAAAGTTTTTCATTTGGTCTATTATTAATGCGTGCG